TGTTACTTTAACATTTCTTCCTCTAGATAACCTAGTTTTTTTTACCTTTATTTTCAACCTCCCACAAAGTCTCAGAGCATGGACAAAAGAAAGTCAAATTCCTTACTGTGGTATAACATTAGTGGCCCTCAATCCAGTTCCCAAGAGAATCCTTCTTTGTTAACATTTCTTCCTTTACTTTTCCTTTTTTTTCTTTTTTTTGTCGGTCGTGGGGCTTGAACTCTGGGCCTGGACGCTGTCCCTCAGCTCTTCAGCTCAAGGCGAGTGCTCTACCACTTGAGCCACAGCACCACTTCCGGCTTTTTCTGCTTATGTGGTGCTGAGGAATTGAACCCAGGGCCTCATGCATGCAAGGCAAGCACTCTACCACTGAGCCACTTTCCCAGCACAATTGTTAACATTTCTGTGTGCATTCTGGTCTTCTGAGTCATCACTGGAATTGTCTGTAAGTTGCATTCTAGGATTTCGTGTCTTCTTTCCCCAAATGTGTCCAAATTTATCCTGAAAACCAATTCTGAAGGCTTCTCAACCACATCATCAGGTATAATCAAAATAGTGACTCTACTTTTCAATATCAGTTTTCAGTATTGATCAGTTTTCCTTTGCTGTTAACAAATAACAATTGGCTGAGATTCATCAGTTTTTTTTGTTGTTGTTGTTGTTGTTTTTTGTTTTTTATTTTTACCAGCTCTGGGGCTTGAATTTAGGGCCTGGACATTGTCCCTGAGCTTCTTTTGCTCAAGGCTAGCACTCTACCACTTGAACCACAGCGCCACTTCTGGCCTTTTCTGTGTCTGTGGTACTGAGGAATCTAATCCAGGGCTTTTTGCATGCTAGGCAAGCACTTTACCACTGAGCCACCTTCCCAGCCCCGATTCATCAGTTTTGAGAAGGAAATATTTATTTTCTCAATGAAAAACTTTTCAGTGTATAGTCCATTGACATATTGCTTCTGAGCTTGTGGCTAGGCAGTGTATCATGGTGGCAGCAAGTTGTAGAGATAGAGGAAGTTATTGCCCTCATGGTAACCAGGAAGCAAAGTGACAGAAAGGAGCCCACAAACAGTATTCCCTTTAAAAGAAAACCCCTATTGACCTCATGTATTCCCATGGGTTCTAAAAATTCCAACACCTCCCATTAGTGCTGGAGGCTGACAACTAGCCTTTAACACATGCCCTGTGGGACCTTACTCAAACCATAGCACTAATCCTCATTGTGGAGGTTAAGGAAACCTCAGTTTCTATCATCTTTAAAGTGAAGACATGTTATAAACTAGGGTTTTTTTTGTCAATTCAGTTATATTTTAGAATGCAGATACTTTAAAAGGTGCTACTAAGCTGGGCACTGATGGTTCATACTTATAATCGTAGCTACTTGGGAGACTGGTGTCTGGGGATTGTGGTTCTAAGCCACCCTGGGCAGAAATGTTTGTGAGACTCTTATCCAAGGTGGTTACTCATCTGACGTTGACATGAGTTCGTTGGCCTACTTAGGTATTATAATTATTGGTGGATTTGTCATCTTAATTCAGTTTACTCACACGCTATCAAAATGTTGCTCACCAGATACTTACATCCTATAAGTTTGCTAGGATCTGGGTAGATACATGAAGAATAGTCTCACTATTTGTTAGCAAAGCTTATAAAGATAGCTGCAATAATAACAGATACATGGTTCCAAATTGCCCTTAGTTAACGCCATTAGTTGGAAGCATTACAAGAACTTTCACAGGGTTTTAATCTAATTCTCTTAAGAGTGAGACAGTTGAAGTTTCAATGAGAGAAGTGTATAGTAAAAGAAAAGAGCTATTCATTAGTTCCAGGATGAAAAAATGGCGTATGCACAGTGTGTATATTTGAGGCCTTGAAATAAAGGTATCCCCATTTTTTTTTTTTTCGTAGTTAGAAATGGAGTATTACATGAAATAAGCCTTGCAAAAGAGTGGAGCAGTATCATATTGGATAATTACAATAAGATCAAAGGAATAAATACTGAAGACATCATTTTGTAATTGCGTCATTATTATTATTATTAGTATTATTGCTGCGGCACCATGGATTGATCTCAGGTTTACTACTTAAGCGATATTTCCTTCTCTTTTGCTTTTTTTTTCTTTTGGTTGTGGGGCTTGAATTCTGGGCTTGGGCGCTGTCCCTCAGCTCTTCAGCTCAAAGCAAGTGCTCTACCACTTGAGCCACAGTGCCACTTTCTGGTGGGTCATTGGAGATAAGAGTCTCACGGACTTTCCTGTCCTGGCTGGCTTTGAACCGCGATCCTCAGATCTCAGCTCCTGAGTAGCTAGGATTACAGGCGTGAGCCACCAGCGCCTGGCTATCATTTTATTTTAGCTCTTGAGATAATCATATGGGGTCTGATTAGCTTTGTCTGGGTTAGTCTTGAACTCATGTTTCTCTTTTACTTTCTAAATAGCTGAGATTACAGGTCTGTTCTTCCATGTCTGACCTCTGTAACTTACCTGAGGTTTTTATTACACCTGTATGTGTGATAGAAATTACATTCTTTTTTTGGGGGGCGGAGGGGGCGTTCTGGTCCTGGGGCTTGAACTCTGCGCCTGGGCGCTGGTCCTCAGCTCTTCAGCTCAAGGACAGTGCTCTACCACTTGAGCCACAGCGCCACTTCCGGCTTTTTTCTTTTTGCTTATGTGGTGCTGAGGAATTGAACCCAGGGCCTCAGGCTTGCAAGGCAAGCGCTCTACCACTGAGACACCTTCCCAGCCCCTAGAAATTACATTCTAATTGTGTGCTGCTGTTGATCATTTTGCAGCTCTGCATTTATGGGTGTTACTACTTTGGTAGTTTGAAATTGGCTCTAGTGGAAGTAGTTGCACCATGAAAATCATCAGATATGGGACTGGGAAGGTGGCTCAGTGGTAGAGCGCTTACCTTGCATGCCTGAGGCCCTGGGTTCAATTCCTCAGCACCACATAAGCAAAAAGGAAAAAGCCAGAAGTGGCGCTGTGGTTCAAGTGGTAGAGCGCTAGCCTTGAGCTGAAGAACTGAGGGACAGCGCCCAGGCCCAGAGTTCAGGCCCCACGACCGGACCCCCCTAAAAAAAAAAAAAGAAAGAAAATCATCAGATACTCCAAATCATGACTTGGTTTATTGTTTTGTCTGTGTTTGATTATAGACACCAAGTAATGGTCAAGAAATTGTTAATAATGTGAATTAAGAAAAGTTCAGCCGGGCGCTGATGGCTCACATCTGTCATCCTAGCTACTCAGGAGGCTGAGATCTGAGGATAGCGGTTCAAAGCCAACCCAGGCAGGACTCTTTATCTCCAATTAACCACCAGAAAACCAGAAGTGGGGCTGTGGCTCAAGTGGTAGAGTGCTAGCTTTGTAGAGCTGAGGGCCGAGTTCAAGCCCTACAACTTACCCTCCCCCCAAAAAAAAAGTTCAAGAAATTATTAATAATATGTATTAAGCGTAAAAGTATTAATGATTGTCTATGGCTATTAAATAATCAAAAATTGAGAATTGTGATTTAGCAAAGTAATTAATTGCTCACAGGATTGATTACCACCAAATGATGTGATGTTCCAATAGATGTCTTTTTTTATATAGCTTTACATCTTTTTTTTTTTTTGCCAGTTCTGGCGCCTGGGTGCTGTCCCTGAACTTCTTTTTTTGCTCAAGGTTAGCACTCTACCACTTCCAGCTTTTTCTGTGATTAATTGAAGATAAGAGTCTCATGGCCTTCCTACCCAGTCTGTCTTTGAACCATTATCCTCAGATTTCAGCTTCCTGAGTAGCCAGGATTATTGGTGTCAGCCACCAGTGCCCAGCTCAATATAGCTTGCATCTTATCCACTAATGAACAAAACTAGTAACTATCTTTTCCTGTCAAATTTCCTGTTAGTCAGTTGCATCCATTATTACATATGGATGTAGTATGTTAAAAATCATTTTGTGAGAGTTGGCTATATGGAATAGAATATTATATAGTTTATTATTGTTCAGAAATTATATTTTAAGCATTCATATCAGAAACGTATGATAATGTGTGTGTTGAAGAATTGCTTGTTAGGGGCTGGGAAGGTGGCTCAGTGGTAGAGCGCTTGCCTTGCATGCATGAGACCCTGGGTTCAGTTCCTCAGCACCACATAAGAAAAAAGAAAAAAGCTGGAAGTGGCGCTGTGGCTCAAGTGGTAGAGCGCTAGCCTTGAGCTGAAGAGCTGAGGGACAGCGCCCAGGCCCCAGAGTTCAGGCCCCACGACCGGACCAAAAAAAAAAAAAAAAAAAAAGAATTGCTTGTTAGCATATTGCGTTCAGAACTTTATAAATTCCTCTCAAGCACCAATCTTTTTCTTTTTTTCTCTTTTTTTTTTTCTTTGTCGGTCGTGGGGCATGAACTCTGGGCCTGGGCGCTGTCCCTCAGCTCTTCAGCTCAAGGCTAGTGCTCTACCACTACTTGAGCCACAGTGCCACTTCCTGTTTTCTAGTAGTTTTATTGGAGATAAGAGTCTCAAGGACTTTCCTGCCCGGGTTGGCTTTGAACCTCGATCCTCAAATCTCGGCCTCTTGAGTAGCTAGGATTACAGGCATGAGCCACCGACGTCAGGCTTGTTCTTATTCTTGTTCTTTTCCTCTTCTGTTTTGATGCTGGGATTGAACTGGCCATCAGGCTTTGGAAGCAGGCACTTTACCACTGAGCTACATCCCAGTCCAAACCTTTCTCATCTTATATTGAAGAATTCGTCTTGTGAACTGTGGTTTACACTTTCATTTTATACAGCAGTTGCCATATCCGTAGTCATTTCTTCCTTGTTATTTCCCCCTTATTTGGGGATCCGTTTCACCCACTATTGTGTGGCATTAGGTAAGGAGGATAATAACAGTCTTGGTTTCCTGAAGTTTTTCTGAATCTGGAGGTGTTTAACTACTTGTCAGTGATAATGCAAGATATATGGAAAGTAGTGCACTAGAACCGCATTGCATTTATTGATGAATTTGTTTACTAAAATACTATAACATTTTCTAGGGATTCAACTAATGAAACTACTGCCCATTCTGATGCTGGCAGCGAACTTGAAGAAACAGAGGTCAAAGGAAAAAGAAAAAGAGGTCGTCCTGGCCGGCCTCCGGTATGTATTGCATTTGTCTTCTATGTTCCTTACTGCTTACTCATAAATGGGCTTCATATGATTCGTTTATCACGTGCAGTGTCAGTACTGTTAAGCATGGTAGAGTTTGGGGCAATTTTACTTGATATATTTGCTTAGCAGTTACTAGAAAATGGAAATGATTATAGTATCTTGTTCTTCTGTTTAGAGTTGGTGATCCATGTGAAGGCCCAAAGGTAGTTATAAACATTGAATGAAGTATTGTTAATTAAGACATTTCACCTGCAACTCTTGATTGTTTGGTTGCACTTGTTTGGAGCTTGGGGCCAGTTTCAGGATTTATTTTCACTGACACGTGACTAAGAAGCTTAGAAAAGTATAATACAATCCTAGGAAGAGGTGTCTTTATGTATTTTAAGGGTTTTAGTTATCCTTTAAGCATGCATAAACTTTCAGAGGTATTTGTAACCGTGTGCCAAAGGGTTAGAGCTTGTAGTATTCTATACCCACTTATGATCTGATTTGCTATGTCTAAGTTTTTTCTCTATTTATAGAAGTTTTTCAGATGAAAAACTTTTCCTGACAGGAGACAGAGTATAACCGACCTTCCCCCAAGTAGTCATTTTCCAGCTTCAGCAGATACGAAAGTATGGCTAGTCTTGTTTCATCTTTTCACCTCTCTTCCTTTTTTTTGTTTTCTTCATGTTATTTTTAACATCGTCCTTGACTTTATTCCACTTGTAATTATGTCAGTTGGTATTGTTGTGTGGAAATACACAAAACTTTCCTATACTCTACAAAACAGTCAACACTGAAGGCTTCTCTGACCTCAAAAAGCATGGGAATTTCTCTCTACCAACAAGCAAGCAAGCAAGCAAGCAAGAGGGTTTGTAACATAGGCATCAGTTGGGTATCCTAGAATTGAATTCAGTTCTGACACTTACCTACCTGGAGAGAGTGTCAGATTCCATAGGTGAGATCTCAGTCCTCAATACTCACCCCCTCCCTTAAATGCCAGTTTCAAGTCCCAGTTTGTTTTACATGTGCTTCTGGAAGACTGTCAAACACTCCCTTCTCCCCCAATAGGTGTGATTACTTTGCTTGAATGGCTTACAGCATTCAAAAGAAACCCTAACATTACCCATTTATTACAGAGGATATTCTAAAGAGGAAAGAGAAAGAGAGAAGGGACAGGAGCTTCAGTCCCCACTTGGATTCTTCCACTCTTGAAGAACAGCTATGTATTGAGCTACCCAGAATCTCTGTCCTTCTGAAAAGCCTCATAGCACATCTAAAGCTAGTAGACTAGTGAGGGGATCCAACAAGCCTGTCTACTTGAGCATTGTTCTTGGCCTTTGTGTGCATCATTCTTCTTTCCGGGTGAGGGGCGTGACCCCTCTGCAGTGAAGATAGAATTTTATGACATTTTGGGTGAGGGTAGGTCACATGATTTTTTTGTGGCCAGCTCCAAGACAAGAAGTAGAGGGACGATTGGAGTTTCTATGACCTATACCTTAGGGAAGAGAAATTGCACTTTCTGTGTCCCCCAAATGAAAATATGAGTATCATACCCAAAGTAGTATTTTATTACTATATGAAATAATTGCCTCCATAGTTGATAATCATTTATTTCAAAATGCTTTTTGTTTTCTGGCTTTTATTCTTATGGATACTTTTATTTTGTATACATCTTATTGTTGGTATTAGGATATATATATATATATATATATACATATATATATACATATATATGTATATATATATATAGAAAGAGAGAGAGAGGATATATGTGTGTGTGTGTGTTTGTGTGTGTGTGTGAATGAATATAATATGTCACTACCACACATTTTCCAAAAGTGGTAATATCAATTTCTGTTCATGCCAACAACACTCCACTTGTCCCACAGCCTTGTTTTTTTACTTTAATTAATTGATTGATTAATTTTCCCCTACAGCCCTCTTCAGTACCAATAGCCCACAGGTAGAAGCCAGACAATGGTTTGGGGCCACAGTTTGCTCTGGCCTGGGTCACTTACTTAGTTTTGTTAGTCATGTTTCCGTAGCCTTTCCAATGACATATAGTGAGATCTTAGTTGTTTGTGTTTTCTTTCTTATATTTCTCTGTTAATAAAATGGATTACCTTTTCATAAGTTTTATGTCTATTTTTGTTTTTAATTTATTTTTTGTTCTTGCGCTGGGGCTTGAACTCAGGTTTGGGTGCTCTCCCTCAGCTTGTTTTTTTTTTTTTTTTCCTCTCAAAGCTGGTGCTCTATCACTTGAGTCACAACTCTCCTTCTGGCTTTTTAGTGCTTAACTGGAGATTAAAGGTGCTTTCATGGGCTTTCTTTTCTAGGCAGGCATTGAACCATGATCCTCAGTTGCAGCTTCTTGAATAGCTAGAATTATAAGTGTGGGCCACTGGTACCCAGCTTTATGTCTATTTAAAGTTGTGTTTTTTCATAAATTTCTCTGAATGTAAATATTTGAAGTCCAAATAAAATCTGGCAGTGTGTTTTTGGAAACTGATCATTTTGAACTGAAGACAGAAATGAAAAATCTCTAAAAGAGCCCAAGCAATATTCACTAGTACAAGGCTTGGAGGACTTTTACTACTAGATACTAACTCTTATTGTAAAGGAACAGAAAGGAAGGCAAAGTGGTATTGGCACAATGTCAGATATGTAGGATGGAGTAGAATTCAGAGACAGAACCACCCATACATGCTTTGCTGTGCTGGTGTATGATTCAAACTCCATTTTAATTCAGTGGGGGGAAAAGAATCTTCTAAAGAAATGATGCAGAAGCAGTTGCTTTTTTTAAAAAAAAATTAAGGAGTAGGGGCTGGGAAGGTGGCTCAGTGGTAGAGCGCTTACCTTGCATGCCTGAGGACCTGGGTTCGATTCCTCAGCACCACATAAGCAAAAAGAAAAAAAACCGGAAGTGGCACTGTGGCTCAAGTGGTAGAGCTCTAGCCTTGAGCTGAAGAGCTGAGGGATAGCACCCAGGCCCAGAGTTCAGGCCCCACGACTGGACCAAAAAAAAAAAAATTAAGAAGTAAAAATTTCTAATTTTGATGAAGTCTTATATCTTGATCATTTTCTTGTATAGTTTGTGCTTTTTGTTTTGGGTTTCATAAATTGTTACCAAACTCAACAATGAAGTAGGTCATCAAGTTGGGTTTGTTTGTTTTTGGTTATTGTTGTTAGTAGTATATCATGTAAAGGAATCCATCAAATGAGTTAGAGCCATTTTAAGTTAGTTGTAGAGACTTATATACTAGAGTGGCTCTTATTAGCACATTTACTTACATTATATAATTATTAAACCCAGGAAATGTAATAATGCTAGCATGTCAGTATCTGGTTAGTTGCCTTATATTGTCTAGTTAACTGGCTCATTCTTTATTTTTCCAGTTCAAGATCTAACCAGATGTAACTCATTTCATTTATTTAGTTTCTCTAATTTGGTGTGGCTTTAGTGGTAGAGTACTTGTATAGCAGGCATGGGTCCCTAGTTCAAAACTCTAGTAGCCCCTCCCCCGAGCCCTATTAATTTCTCTTAATCTGTAGTAGTTTCTTTTTAGTTTTTATCTTATTTGCATTTTGAAAAATGGAAAGAAGATATTTTTCTGTTTCCTTATTGTTAGGATTTAAATTATACATATCTTATAATATCATCTAATTATCACTTGAGACTTAAATTGCAAAAGTTAAGCTCTGAGATAAGACATAGAATCTGGACATTCCCACTAATTGCAGATATCTACTTGCTGTTAATGAGAGAACAACTTACCAGGCAGTTATTTGTGGTAGATAAATTACTTTGTTCATGCTAACTAAGTCTGAGAGATCAGCTAGCATTTAGAAATCTGAGCTTAGTTAGATCTATGCTTCTAGTTGCTATATAGGTGTTCTAATAGACACTTCTATAGGATTTCTTTGTAATGGCCTGGATTCCAAAGACTTCAGTCTTAGAGTAAACTAATTTTGGTAGGGTAGACTGAACCTCCAGATAAACTGGGTTGCAGCTTAAGTTGCTAAAGGTTTCTTAAATATATAAATTGTCATTTGAAGCAACTGTCACTCATTTTTTTTATTGTGAAAATACCGTACAGAGGGATTACAATTACATGAGCAAGGTAGTGAGCACATTTCTTATCAAGCATTGTTGCCTCCTCCTTTGTTTTCCCTTTCCATCCCTTCCCATCTCCCCCCCTCCTCACACCCCCCCCCCCCGCCTTTTGTTGTTATTGCTTGCTTTATTGGTTTGTTGTTTTTGCTGGCCTACGGTTCAGACCCAGAGCCTTGCACATGCTAGACAAGAACTCTGACACTGAGATACGTCCTTACCCATTTTCATTTTTAATTTGAATATCTGTCTGTCTGTCTATCTGTCTATATCTAATTGATTAAGATATATAATCTCTGCATAGCATTGATTGATTCCAGTACTAAGGCAGGGATTAGAAACACTGAGCCTGGGACAGAATCTTGTAGGGCCAGTGAGTGCTAAAAGTAAAGCCAAACCACAGAGGCATACACAAGGACAGGAGCTAGCTCTGAGAATTCTCAGTGACTCAGCTGGAACAATATAAACAAAATAATTGGTACAAAGTTATAACTCCGAGTATAAAATGATTGTTGTTGAGTTTACATTGACTTAAGTGATTGTATAAATAATTCGTTGAGAATAGAAATATGTTCTATATTGAAGAATTAAAAATAATTTGTGTAAGTACTGTCTCCTGTAAAAAGGTGGAATTTAACCTCCCAGCCATAAAGTGTTGCCTATGTGTGGCAGTTTTCTCCCAAAGGATATTACACGGAACAGGGAGGAAACAAAACTTCACAGTGGAAAATCCTGACAGATACTAAGTGATTAAAGTCAACATTAATATTGATATATTATGCTAATAATATGTACACTTGATGGGAGATGATAAAAACAATATTTTACCTCTGTTTTTTGTTTCCCACACACCCATAAACCTAGTTCAGTAATGGCAAAAACGCCAGACAAATCTCAGTGAGGGATCTTTTGAAAATAACTGATTAGCATTCTTGGGTACTACTGAAGTCTCAGGACCCAGGAGAGCTTGCAGAACTGTGACAGACACGATGACCTTGTGGGGAGGGCCTGATGATTAAGTGTATGTGTGTGGTATGCTGCATGGGATTCTGAAACAGGGAAGGATCATTAGGGCAAAAAGTAAGAAAATGTATACAAAATACGGATTTGTTAGTGTTTGATACTAGTTCATTGATTGTAACAAAGGTACTATTCTAATTTTTCACAATTTTTTGTAAATACTATTTATTTTAAAATTTAGCAATTCTTATATTCACATATGTACAGAATTTATTTATTTATGTATTTATTTATTTTTGTTGGTCATAGAGCTTGAACTCTGGGCCTGAGCGCCTGCCTCTCAGCTCTTCAGCTCAAGGCTAGCGCTCTACTGCTTGAACCACAGTGTCACTTCTGGTTTTCTGGTGCTTTATTGGAGATAAGAGTCTCATGGTTTTTCCTGCCTGGGCTGGCTTTGAACTCAGATCTCAGCCTCTGAGTAGCTAGGATGGCAGGCGTGAGCTACTGGTGCCCGGCCAGAATCAGTTTTAAGGCCACTTATCACTAAGAAGTGATAATAGTACTAATAAAAACAATAATTGCACATAATAGAGCAGCTTCTATAACCTAGAGAAGGCCCTCCCTATTTATATTGCCCTCTATTTATATTGCCTGCTACTGCAGCAGGTTGAAATAGAGGAATGTGACAGGGTCTGGATCCTAGTCGCAAAGCAGTGCAAATATGGGTGGATTTGTAGACAAGGAACGGTCAGTTATCATTGGAACAAGTCTATAATGACAATGAATTTAATTACTCCAAGAAGAGTCCAGTGATAGAGAAGAAAAAGGTATTTAAGAGAGGCCTCTGCGTAATACTAACACACAAGGAATATAGTACAGGTAGTGGAAAGATAACTGATCGGAAAAGAAGACTGCTGGGTGGCCTACTAAGAGTTTTCAGATGGGCTGGGAATGTGGCTTAGTGGTAGAGTGCTTGCCTAGTATGCATGAAACCCTGGGTTTGATTCCTCAGTACCACATACACAGAAAAAGCTGGAAGTTACACTGTAGCTCAAGGTAGAATACTAGCCTTGTGCGAAAGCAGCTCAGGGACAGTACCCAGGCCCTGAATTCAAGCCCCAGGATTGACAAAAATAAAGTTTTCAAAATTGTATTGTTTAGCAGTATTGATGTTATTGATGAATTTTGTAAAGCAGCAGCCATGCAATGGCTTTAAAGTTTGAATGAATGAAATTTATGGGTTTGGATAAAGTAAAAGCAGATAAATATCCTAAATTATCCTTGGTTCTAAAGAAAAGACACAGGTAAGGTGCTATTTAGTATTGACTTTTAACAAAGAACGGCTAGGGGTAGCAAAAATATTTGTTTTGCTTATTGTTATATTGCAGTGCCAAGAGTGATTCCAAGTATTTTCATTATGTTTGTTGCAGGACTTAGTCTTGAGCCCTTCGTAGAGGAAGAATACATAGCATTTCTCAGAACTGATTTATTGAATAAAGTTTTAAACAAGTAGAGTATTGAGAAAGGAAATGTAATGATTAGATATGGTTGAAACATTCAGCACTAACATTTTTGCAGAAATCTAATCAGTTTTTTAAACTTTATTTTCTCTATGCTGTTTGCACTGTTCATTATTTATTGGCACCGAATACAAACTGGGAAAATGTTTTTTTTTTTTTTTTTTTTTTTTGGGTGGGGGCCAGAAATTTATCTGTAGTAGTGCTAAATACCTCCGAAAGAATCAAGCATGATTTGAGGCAGTTTTGGTTAAAGCAAGGAGTAAGTGAATTTACTACAATTTTGCTTTATCTTTTCATTTCTGTTCAGTCTACAAATAAGAAACCTCGGAAATCTCCAGGAGAGAAAAGCCGCATTGAAGCTGGAGTTAGAGGAACAGGCCGTGGAAGAGCCAATGGCCACCCCCAACAGAATGGCGAAGGGGAGCCTGTTACGTTGTTTGAGGTGGTGAAGCTGGGGAAAAGTGCAATGCAGGTAAATCTTCAGAATGTTTTATCTCGCGTGTGTAGAGCAAGAAGTTCAAGGGTTCCTGTGCAGCCAATGGATTGGCGCTGCATTCAACTCACGCCCCTCCCCCGCCCCTCATCCTTCTCCTCCCGTCTCCCTGTGCCCACTTGCTAGAAAGCACATATCCTGCCACTGAGGCCCTAAACTTGTAACCCAAAGAATTTCATTCTTAAAGGTTTTGCTGCTGCTGCTGCTGCTGCTTCTTCTTCTTCTTTTAAATAAAGGACACAGGAAAGACATTTTTTGTTGTTGTTTTTCACTAGTCATATATACTTTAAATTGTGCCGAGTATATGGGCTCTGGATAATGGAAGTTGCAGACTTGAACTGTAGGTATCACCTTCTCACTTGGCTTTTATTTCGTTCACAACTGGGGCTCTACCACTTGAGCCACACACACCCCTGCACCACCCTCACCCCGCCCTGTCTTCCCTGCCTCCTGTGATAAATAGAAAAATATGAGTATCTCAGATTTGTCTGCCTACGTTGCTTGGAACCCAAATTCCCATCTCTCAGCCTCTTGGGTAGCTAGGATTATAGTTGTGAGCTACCAGAGCCCAGCTCCAAGGGAATTTTTATAGTCTCAGCACAACCTTTAGAACTGGATTTAAAATAAGTAACATGTGTTTCTGAGTAGTTGACAAAAGAAAGGATGATCTTGTATACCCTTACTGTCTTTTATCTCTGCTCATTTATTCAACAGAATGTCAGGTATTCTGTAAGGGCATGATTTAGCCTTTTTAGTAAATCATTATAAGGATGATTTGAGTGTTTCTTTAGCATATGGTTGAATTGTTTTTAACTATTTTAAAGACTATTACTCATGCTTGTATCTGTTCATATTTTTCACTTAAAAATCTTCGTGGTAGAATTTTTTTGGAGGAAGGAATTTTTTTCCTACCGTGTGACACTAAAAAAATTGAATGTGGCTGAAATGTGGTTTAGAGGTAGAGTGCTTGCCTAGCATGCATGAAGCCCTGGGTTCGATTTCTCAGTACCACACACAGAAAAAGCTGCCAGTGGTGCTGTGGCTCAAGCGGTAGAGTGCTAGCCTTGAGCAAAGCTCAGGGACAGTGCCCAGGCCCTGAGTTCAAACCCCAGGATTCGTGGGGGGGGGGGGGGGGGGAATGTATTTACTTTTTATCAGCATTGTGGCAGAATATGCTGAGTGTAGTGGTGCGTGTCTGTAGTCCCAGCACTGGGGAGGCTGAGGCAGGATGATTTTTGAGTTTAAGGCCAGTTTTGACTACATAAAGAGACTAAGTAAAAAGTAAACAAATACTTTAAAAACAACAACAAGAACTGTAGCAGAATGTCTACTTTGCTGTACTAGAGTTAGCAATTAGATATTTTATATTTAAAATTTATTTGATACAGGTGAAAAATGGCCACTTATTTTTTTCAGCATTTTTAAAAATTGTGATTAAGTGATTACATAAATTTCACGGTATTGTGAGATAATACTTAGTTAAAGTCACAAACACATCCTAACCATCATGGGGCAAATTGTCTATTATGGTCTATAAAGCTTATGAATTCTATGGGCTTTGGCTATACAGTTATTTCTTCCACATCGAGTGATATATACATTTCTTTCCTTTTGCTTAGTGTCAGCTGTTCCCTCTTTCCCACTCATCCCTCCCTCCCATTACTGCCACTGAGTTGCTTAGTTCATTTTGATCAATGTCCAGCGCAGCTGATGGGTCCCGCTGTGGTATGTTTTCCCATTTCCCTTTGTTTCTGTTTCCTCCTCCTATTTGCCCTACAATGTGCACATATATACCATATATGTGGTTAGCATGGTTGCTTACTTTAATTTGCATTTCTTTGATCAACAATGATCAATAGGTAAAATTGGAGCATATTTGCCCTATTTTTCAATTACATTCTTAGTTTAAATGGAAATTCTTTTTATAATTTATTTAATGTAATTACTTTTAGGACTGAAACAATTTGCTGTTTGTGTATCTTTTATTTTCCATCTATATTTCATTTTATACAAGTCCTGTAGGGAGTTGGTTGGCTATTGTTTTTTATGTATGTGCAGTCGTCTTAGAAGCAGTGTGTGTGGGGGTGCGATTTGGAGCAGAGTGGCATGATGGGTAAAGCATACTGAATTCCCAGTTAACCAAAGCAGTCATTGACAGTTTAAAAACTGACTTTCACCACCGTCTCACACCTACTCACTTTACTTTAATAGAAAATGGTTAATAAACTACAGAAATAATAGTTTTTGAGGTCTATTTTATTGATTCCCATATAAATAAGCAGAAAAATTAGAGAAGCAACTGTTTATGGAAATTTGTAATCATTTAGCTTTAACATTTTGCTTTCATTTTTTTTCATGTAAAACTTTGTCAGGTATGTATATAAAGAAAGACATTTTTGTTCTTGTTGTTGATTGTGTGGCTTGAACTCATGGCCTGTGCGCTGTCTCTGAGCTCTTTTGCTCAAGGCTAGAAATTTGTCATGAAACAATCTTGTATCTATGTGTTTGATACGTATATATAAACATTTCAGCTGGGAGTCAGTAGCTCATGCCTGAGATCTGAGCATCCCCGTTCAAAGCCAGCTCAGCCAAGAAAGTCTGTGACACTCTTACTTCCAATTAGCACCCCCCCTCCGTGTGTGTGTGTGTGTGTGGTGTGTGTGTGTGTGTGTGTGTGTGTGTGTGTGTGTGTGTGTGTGTGTGTGTAGTACAGGCATGAGCCACCTACTCCCAGCTGAAATATATACACAGTCTGAAACATAAACATGATATTGTTTCCTGACAAATTTCTGAAAGTTGTTCCATTGGTAATGCTTATAATTTCACTGTTATGTCCTCAGCTTAAAAATAAAGAAATCAAGCTGCACACCAGTGGCTCAGAACTGCAATCCTAGCTACTCAGGACGTTGAGATCTGAGGATTGTGGTTCCAAGCCAGCCTGGGCAAGAAAGTCCATGAGTCTCTTACCACCAAGAAACAATTCAGATAAAGCTGGAAGTGGCGCTGTGGCTCAAGTTGTAGAGCACTAGCCTTGAGCAAAAGACGCTAGGCAAGTTTTCATATACCTGTAATCCTAGCACTTGGAAGACAGATGAAGATGGATCATGACAAGGCCATCTTCCTGTCTATAAAAAAAGGAAACAAACTTTAAGATGGGCACTGATGGCTCACGCCTGTAATTCTAGCTACTCAGGAGGCTGAGATCTGAGGATTATGGTTCAAAGCCAGCCTGGGCAGGAAAGGCCGTGAAACTCTTATCTCCAGTAAACCACCAGAAAACTGGAAGTGGCGCTGTCGTTCAAAGTGGTAGTGGTAGAGCACTAGCCTTGAGCTGAAGAGCTCAGGGACAGTTCAGGCCCCAAGACTGGCCCCCCCCCCCTTTTTTTTTTTTTTTTTACCTTTTCCCCTATCCCTCATTTGCTTATCAGCTCTTCTGTTGAGATGATCACTTCCCATCTTTTCATGGTTGTATGTAGAATTATCTTTCTGTGTTCCCCACTGAACTTAGTCCCTGAACAGTCCCCACCTCACCAAATTCCTGCAGTGGGTTTAAGGCTTGCATGAGATGTGAGCTTGGTAGGCAGCTAGAGCTGCCAGTTTACTCACGAGAGCTTATAAATTGGTTAGGAGTCAAATCTATATATATCAAATGTGGAAGAATTCTCTTCATGGTTTAGGTCGGCATGGGTTTTATTCTGTGACTGTGCTAAAAGTGAAAAGCCCCCGTGGGCTTTATGCAAATCTTCTTTTAACTTGAATTTGAGCTGACAGTTATGTAGTAACTTGCAGGACAGTTTTGCTTTTCTGACGAAGTGGGGAAAGTTTCTAATAATTTTTAAGTTCAATTTAATTTGTTGATTGATTGTAATGGAATTTGGACTTAGTTATTTTGGAGTTATCTGGCATTATGCCTAGACTGGCCTAGTCTAGGGTTTTCCAACTTTTGCCTCCCTGTGTTATTGGAGATGACAGGAACGTGCGATGCTGCCATTGTGAATCCCCTGTAGCTGGAATAACAGGCAGTAGTCACTGTACTCGGCCATTGGCTCAGCTGAATCCCTCAAATTTCTTTTTGTCCGGGCCAGCCTTGAACTGGCATTTCTCTGATCTCTATTTCCTAAGTAGCTAGAATTACAAGTTGAGCCACTGTGCTTAGCTATACTAATTTTTTAACATGCACTGTCAGAAATGCTTAGTAGTTTCAAGAAGTATTTAAATGTCTAGGAACTGTAATTACAGGAGACATTAAAGAACAAATACACCATTGACTAAAATGACATCAGGCAAAGATGAGCAAATAGAAATATTGCAGTGTAGATGAGATATGGAAATAAGCAAATGCACATACTTGAAGAAAACTAACGTGAGTGTAATTAAAAATGTGTTAACTGACTACAGTATAAAATAAGTATATTTACAATATTCAGATTAAATTTGGGTGAGGGTAACAGCAAAATCAAGTAACAGATAGAAGTTTATTTCTTGTAAGTAAATACGCAATAGATACAAATGCTTAGGAAGTATTTATAGATGTCATATTGGGCTATGATATGAATACCTCAACTGTAAACAGGAAGGACCATACCCAACAAATTTTTTAAAAAAGCATCCATACATTAAAGCTTCAACCTTTATTACTCAACAATTCTACAGTGGATTGCCAAATAACTACATTGTTAATACCTTCATAGTCATTAAAGTGTGGATAGCATATCTTCAATGGCATTTTGATGCTTTTTTTTTTTTTAAAGTAAAACTTTTTTGGGGGGGGGTAGGGGTGGTCATGGGGCTTGAACTCTGGGCCTGGGTGCTGTCCCTCAGCTCTTCAGCTCAAGTTGAGCGCTCTACCACTTGAGCCACAGCGCCACTTCTGGTTTTCTGGTAGTTTGTTGGAGATAAGAGTCTCCCGGACTTTCCTTGCCCAGGATGGCTTTGAACCTCGGTCCTTAGATCTCAGCCTCCTGAATAGCTAGGATGAC